TCGCTGAAACCAGGTTTCTGGAGTTTTTTTTAGCTTCTATATGTTACTATGTTTCAAACTGCCCGCTCAGTTGCCTGCAAGGCAGGCGGGGAACGTTGGAGTCCGCTGTCACTGAAGCAAGCAAGCCTCATGTTCAGTTTAAGCTGCCTGGCTGCCGGCCGCCATCTTGGCTGGCAGTTAATTTGCATATCTCCCTGATTAGCCAATGGGAAGGGTAGTGGTCGTACGCCAATTACCATGTTTCTCTTTTATTAGATAGGATTAGTACTTGTAAAGAGTCCTTATTGTAATTGGCAGTATGGGAAAAAATACAAAGAAGTTTAATCTTTCATGATTATATATTCTGTTATTTATGAACTGTTTCACTGAGTTTAATTATGTTTCTTTTTGTCAACACTTAATGGAGGGAACAAGATGTTAATCAAATTTTATAGTAAGATTATATGCAAAGTTCTAATTTATCTCTCTATTTCAGAGAAGAAAACTCGTGGGCTTTTTGGGGGGTTGATTAACATCATTCTCTAGATCACTCTCACACTAGCTAGGTTTATTTTGGTGGTATTTTTATAATTTAAGAACCTTACATTGCAGTTAACAGTGAGGGTACTCAGAAGTCAGATATTTTATTAGAAACTAATATCACTTTTCTTCATGGGTTCTGATGGCTTCAGAATTTGAAGTTCTATGCACATTATGTGACATAAAACATAGCAGTAATAAATGTGTTTTGTCTGAGTTGATATTCATGTGAGGGGGGAGAACCAAGATGGCAGCATAGCTTAACGCTGGAGTTTGCTGCCTCAAACAACCACTTCAAAAATACAACTAAAAGACGGAACGGACATCACCCAGAACCACAGGAACGCTGGCTGAGTGGAAGTTCTACAACTAGGAGGAAAGAGAAACGCATACCGACACTCAGAGGAGGCGCAGTGCTGAAGTCAAATACTAAGGTGCAGAGTGCATGCAGAGCGGGCTGGGGGCTGAGGGTGCGGTTGGCGTTTTCAATCGGGAGGGAGTCGCAGACTCTGAGCTCCAGCTCTGGGCGAGTCGCTAGGGACCGAGACTCAAACGGGAGAAGAGGGACTGTCTGGCCTCAGTCAGAACGCGAGTGCAGCTTTCTCTCCGAGGTTTGCAGCGGTTGCTGGGACTCGGAGAGGCGGAGCCCCCGGGACAGGACTGAGAGCGGCCATAACTGCTCTCCCTCTCCGGCCCGCCCTGTTGATCCCGTGGGACCCGCCCCGCCCAAGCCCCTGCAGGGAGGCTTTTGCTGGATAGCCTCAGGCAAAGGCTAGATTAGCACTGCCCTAAAGATCCAGGAGCCAGGAAGCCCAGAGGGCA